TACAGCGTCTAGCACAGTACTTAGACCCCAGCGACACCCTGCCAGCCCGGCTTGCCCGACCCGAGGCTTCGTCATTCACTGCCCATACTCCTTCAGCCTTCCTTATTCAGCTCTGCCTTCCACCCACACCTCCCACTAATACCAATGTCCACTTTCTTTCTCCATCAGATTGGCCCCCTTCCAACTTCTACAGCAAGCCTCTTAATTTTTTTTTTTATTTGAGAGGGAGAGAAAAACAGATTGGTTGTTTCACTAATTTATGCATTCATTGGTTGATTCTTGTATGTGCCCTGATGGGGATCGTACCCATAACCTTGCAGTATTGGGAGGATGCTCTAACCAAGTGACCAAGTGAGCTATCCGGCCAGGGCCCGGGGATCCTTTTCTGACATCTGTTATTTTTTAAAATATGTTTTTATTGATTTCAGAGAGGAAGGGAGAGGGATAGAGAGATAGAAACATCAATGATGAGAATCATTGACTGGCTGCCTCCTGCACGCCCCCTACTGAGGAGGATCCAGCCTGCAACCCAGGCATGTGCCCTGACCAGGAGTTGAAGCTGGGACCCTTTAGTCCCCAGGCTGATGCTCTACCCACTGAGCCAAACCAGCTAGGACATGACATCTGTTATTTTTGTCAGCTCAACATTCCTTTTTCTGTTGGGGAACTAACTCTTCCCCATCTCATGTGATTCTGAAGGAACTGTGTCCCTCACTCCATAGAGTGGTGGGAAGTCATTGTGGGCCTGTGACTCTAGAAAGCCAAGCACTTCCCCATCTGGTTGTCTCCAGTGATTGGTCCTAGTTGGTGGGCATGTGACTTGGCAGGGCCAATTATAATCATTCCATGAGAGTAAGGCAAAGCTGCTGAGAAAGAGGCTTTCTTTGGGATCTCAAGCAGGAATAGAGTATAAGGGCAACTGACAGCTGTCTTTACACTCTGTGGAGAGAGACTGTGGCCGGAGAAGGTGAGGCCATCTTATAAAGAGACAGAGATAAGCAGGACCAAAAGGGTGTATGAAAGAGAGTCTTAACATTGTCTGGGCCCCTATATCCAGCTTTGCCTGAAGCTGGTATTAGCTCTAGTTTCCCCAGTTGCATTAGTCAGTGAATCCCACCCTCCAACCTCTGACTAATCTGGGTTGGTGTTTGAATTGGGTGTCTGTCACTTGCAACTCAATCTTTTTTAATTAAATCTTTATTGTTCAGATTATTACATTTGTTCCTCTTTTTCCCCCCCATAACTCCCCTCCACCCAGTTCCCACTCCACCCTCTGCCCTCACTCCCCACCCACTGTCCTCATCCATAGATGCACGATTTTTGTCCAGTCTCTTCCCCCATCCCCCACACTCCTTTTCCCCTTAAGAATAGTCAGTCCACTCCCTTTCAATGCCCCTGATTCTATTATAATCACCAGTTTATTCTGTTCATCAGATTATTTATTCACTTGATTTTTAGATTCACTTGTTGATAGATGTGTATTTGTTGTTCATAATTTGTATCTTTACCTTTTTCTTCTTCTTCCTCTTCTTAAAGGATACCTTTCAGCATTTCATATAATACTGGTTTGGTGGTGATGAACTCCTTTAGCTTTTCCTTATCTGTGAAGCTCTTTATCTGACCTTCAATTCTGAATGATAGCTTTGCTGGATAAAGTAATCTTGGTTGTAGGTTCTTGCTATTCATCACTTTGAATATTTCTTGCCACTCCCTTCTGGCCTGCAAAGTTTCTGTTGAGAAATCAGCTGACAGTCGTATGGGTACTCCCTTATAGGTAACTGACTTTTTTTCTCTTGCTGCTTTTAAGATTCTCTCTTTGTCTTTTGCTCTTGGCATTTTAATTATGATGTGTCTTGGTGTGGTCCTCTTTGGATTCCTTTTGTTTGGGGTTCTCTGCGCTTCCTGGACTTGTAAGTCTATTTCTTTCACCAGGTAGGGGAAGTTTTCTGTCATTATTTCTTCAAATAGGTTTTCAATATCTTGCTCTCTCTCATCTTCTGGTACCCCTATAATTCTGATGTTGGTACGTTTGAAGCTGTCCCAGAGGCTCCTTACACTATCTTCGTATTTTTGGGTTCTTTTTTCATTTTGCTTTTCCGGTTGGGTGTTTCTCGCTTCTTCGCATTTCGAATCTTTGACTTGATTCTTGCGCTCCTCTGGTCTGCTGTTGGGAGTCTGTATAATATTCTTTATTTCAGTCAGTGTATGCTTACTTTCTAGATGGTCCTTTATCACACCATCGAGGGTCTCATTAGATTTCCTGTACATCTCATCAAGTTTATCGACAGACTCTAGAAGCCTCTTGAGAGACCTCAAAAGTGTGGTTCTGAACTCAATATCCTCCCTTGATAGTTTTGTCCTGTTTCTTTGTCTCCGCATTTTTTACGCTTTCTTGGTACACCCCCTAGTGGTCTTTGTGCGCAGTCTTGTTGTAGTTAAGCCTTGATTGTTGTAGTTAATACTAGAGGGATTTGACCTCCAGGCCAACTGGCTGTGTTAATCAGCTGTGTCTGCAGTGGAAGAACTTGTGTCCTCTAGGGAGGTGCTAATCTAGCCTTTGCCTGAGGCTATCCGGCAAATGCCTCTGTGCAGGGCTTGGGCGGGGCGGGTCCCACAGGATCAACAGGGCGGAGGAGGGAGCAGTTATGGCTGCTCTCAGCCC